TACTCCAGAGGTGTTTAGGTGATAATTTTTAAAATAAAATAAAATTTACTTAACAACAGAAATATTAACAACCTGCAAGTGACACGGAAATGAGTAAGGACTTAAATCAATCAAAAAATCATTGATTCGAAAGTATATCGTGTGAGGTTCTTATAATCATTTTATGATACATTTGAGTAAATAGTAGAGCTACATTCATATCTTGCACACTGTAAAACAGTATCGAAACGCGCACAAACTTCCAACAGGTGGGCACGCGTACATATAAGTGAGACATAGGGTGTTTGTTTTAGAGTTTTTTAATATTCGCTCAAACTTTAATTTTAATCAAAAATACTTATTGATTGATGTCCAGATTAGGCCTGGAATGGTGAAGATAAGAAAAGAGATTATAAATGAATATACGATTCGAACGTGGGTTCAAAAGTATAATTTCATACAATTAGAGGCACTTGGTTGATATATTAAAATAAAATACTATCTTTAGTTAATGCGAGTACTACACATTTAAATGAAACACTTTAACGACTTAAAACGCGATATATATTAGTTAAATTTGATTGACAATTATTTTAACTACGGTATTCAGATGCTTACAGTATTTAATCCAAATCTTTACTCAAGAATGTAAGATTGATTTTCTTTGAATATAATTATGAGATCCCAAGTGCGTTAGATATTACCTTGTTACAATAAAGTCTGAAATTTTACAACACCATGTACCTCTTATCACTTGTTACCTCAGCCATACGCAATCTACAAAATCAATACGTACACGATGATCCTATCGCTTTATTAATAGAGTCTAAATTCCTATAACCATTCGCTTTTGTGTGACGTCGTATGTGGAGGTAATAGCTATTTTTCCTTGAGCTCCCCAGCTCTCGCCGTTGCATCAAACATGAATGCAATAGGGGGGTTTATATTATACTGCACAGGTCAAGTAATACTGGCGCTAATAACTACGATTTAGAATATAAAATTCGTATTCACAATAGTGCTTCGACGCGGTGCGTGACGGTCGTGGCCATTTTGTTTTTATTTTTTTTTATTCGTGTTTTGACTTTGACGTTTCAGCAAGGAGGTTTTGGGAAAAGTTTGCAGTGTTGTGATTTATGGTTTTTGTCTATGGTAAGTCGAGTTATGTAATAATACTAAGTGGATTTAATAAGTGATTATGGTTATAATTAACATTTTATATACATTAAGTTATAATATTAATATTTAGTTACACAATATTTTTATAGAAGTAATTAGTATTTTTAATTAATATTACATCACGCTTAGTGAAATTCCATTATAAGTATTTAGTGATTTTATTTAATTTCATTTATTTTACATTAAATACTAAACTTATATGTACTAAAACGTATTGGACATCGGTATAGTATCTGTTCGAAGTATCTTGTCTACTCTGCGTCTTCTCTCTTTTGTCTTGAATTATTGAATTCAAACAGTTTGCTCACTTTTCTGTGCTCAATATCACTCTTATAAAAATAATTTGCATCTACCTGCCTTGTTTGTATCTGTATTTTTATCGATTATTGAGGCTTCGAACTCCCGACCCTTTTCCCTCCATGTTTATTAAACCTAAATTTATGGAGGACAACATAGCTCGTTAAATGAGTATTCAGTGATTATACGCAGTTTGTATTCATATAAATAGAAAAAGTCTTTCAATGCAGCGATTTATTAAGTCTAAACTCTTGCCGGACATCGCCGTGTTAACAAATTCCATACAATTTCTTTAAACCCCTTGCCGTTTAAAACGCATAGATATTACTCATATTTAACAATATATCGCGTTTTAAACGTTAAAGTGTTTTATTTAAATGTGTACTACTCCTTCAATTTTAAATTACATACAAATTTATGTTCATTTCGTCCAATCTTTAAACGGCTGGACTTATTGTAAGACTTTTACTCGTGGATATCCTTAAGAGTTTGGTGATTATACACGAAATAGCGAGTACAGTGAGATTAAAACTACAGGGTGTATAGTTTCTCAATTGCCTTCACGAAGTGCAGATGAAAATTGATGATTCATTGTTTATTAGAATGTCAAGGCAAACGCCCATGAGCGTAATGTAGCAATATTATGTTGCTTTATAACGGATTATATAGAATTGGCGGTCTCGTTGGTATTATGGTAGCAAGATATTAAATGGGTGGTTGGTATATCGTGGTGGTTTCGGTTTCACACTGGATTTCCAATATCGAAACCGAAATAGGCCGACAGCGCATCTTGGTTATATGCCGTAGGTGTGGTCTCTCATCCTTTCTCATTAAAAAATTGCAGATCATAAACAGTCGTAGAAAATCTAACAATATAGATGCAACATTTTGTACACCTCCAAGGGACTACTCCAACTACTGGACGAATTTCGATAAAACAAAATAGTTTTTCCAACAACTATCATATCTGAAAAATTTCCACTTTGAGTTATTTTTTGAAACGTAAAGTTGATCTCATGTTTTCTTTGTGGATGTCATCTCTTTTTAATCTAATCTATCAAGTCTTTGATAATATTAAATAATCTTATTTATATAAAATACTTCTCGCCTTATTATATACTTTTTAGGCATGTCAAGATGGGTAACACGAATTTTTTTCTTCATGTTAGATTTTCTTGAATTTAGACAAACACTCTTCCTTTGCTTACACTTGTTTGATTATACTTACTGAATTAAAAAACAATTTTAGGTTAAAAAAAATGATGACACGTGCAGGACTTGAATCTGCATCTACAGAGGTTCCTGGTGTTACTCTAAATTGAGCCACCGTGTTCTTGCCATATTTGACCTATAATGCCTATTTTTTTTCGGCGGCGGTACCAATGGGCACTGAATGACTTAACGACCAACGTACGATTTTGATTATTTTAACTTTCTTATGCAAAACTGCATAATGAAAACATGGCAATTACTCTCAACTTTTCACATGGATGAGTCGGTGGGGAAATCCAGTAATATAATAAACAAAAAACATAATCACACTGTCCGTCCGTCACGGTGTGTCTAACAGAATCGTCGCTCAAATAACTCCGAACAATGCGCGCAAAATCACTTTTGTTCTGACAAATAATGACGTACGTATCTGGGTAGTACAAGTTTATATTAGTGCCTACTCTCTTAGGTTAATAATAAGTAAGTAAAACCCTAAATAAATTGAAAAAAAATGTAACATTACAAAACATAAAAATATTGTAATTTTACAAAAAATCATAAGTAATTTAACAATGTCTTATGTAGTTTTATGCGGACAGACTTAGAACCAAAACCAGAAAAGGGTAATTCAAAAGATTGTCTCTCTCTAGTACATCGAATGAAAGTTCCCCTTTTTCAAAGACTGAACTGATTTTGAACAAATACAAAATATCATCCATCAACAACAAGCCGCATTATTTTTCCCAGCTTAATAGGCGTGATGAAAACGCTACTCTATTACGACATGTATTAATTGCTTTCATTTTAATAGCAAACGACATTGAAACCAAGGTGTTCGCTTATCAGTTGTTATCAGTGAGTGTCACTGTATACAGACTTTTCTAATTACCTCAAGTGTCTGTTAAATTGTTTGTAGTGTTCACTGTCATGTCGTCAAGAAATTTTGAAACCTAAATATTATCTTAAAATGCGGAACGGGCGGATCAGCATGGAACGCTGTGTTCGCCGGTTCGAATCCTGCTTGTACACTTGTTTTTAAATTTTTGATATTTTTTGTTAGTATACTTATTATTATTACTCCTATTTACGTTCGAAACAAGGTATTTAAAATATGTATTATAGATATATTTTATTTTTCTATAAATAACTAACTTATTATCTAAGGACTTTTAACTACATTCGTATACTTATTTTATCTTGAACCTTACTTTTGAATGTAACTAATTTTGAACTACATTAAACTAAATACAATCTCGCAAGTGAATATCAAAAAAATCCCTCGCCTTTTAAAAATACAGAAGACAGTTGCGTTGACGGTTGAACAGGTGCGTGTACACATTTAGGGACCCCAATCTTTAACAACTTCTTGCTAATATCGTTAGTAAAAGGATAAACGGGAAGTAAGAAGTACAAAATATAAAATATGTTAATATTTTGATAGTTAATCATATATCATCATCAATCATATTAAAAATCTAAGAAGCGCCAATGAACATCTATGTAAATAATTATAAAGCCATTTAATTAATTTCACACTTTTCTACATTAACTTAAGTGAATTTAATAATTATATTTCATGTTATAATGGTTTAAATTAAACACTTTATTCCTTTTTTCTAATAAAATACGGTTTATTACATTTATACCATACCATTGGTCATCACTTTCTTTCCAGAGCAAAAGAAAAAGATATGCGCACAAAGACAGCTGCAAGCAGATTTTTTTTTTTTTTTGACGGGAGGTGAAATATCCCAGCCATATAACATCTAGCATCACTAGTTGTGCTGTCGACCTATTTTGGCTTGGGATATTCTAAAAGTAATCTATGAGTAATAGTTACACAAGCCCTTACAATATCCGCTGAGTCAGAACATTGCAGGTGGCACTTGCAATCACTGACGCAAAACATAGGGGTTGCTCTAATGTCAACTTATGGGAACGCGACCTTTTAAAGGCATTTTAAACCAAAAGTAATGTTTTTTACTCACACAGGCGCAAGTTAATAAATCAAATCATTGAAGGCTTTGTTGTTTGAAGTCTACGTCAAGAGGTTCTATATTCAAAATTCCGAAAATAGTAAACTGTTTTATATTGTTACTAGTCCAAATTCGTTTTTGGCAAACCCTGCTGTTACCCATGGTCACATCCCTTCCCATCGTTCTTGCAAATCATAAAAGATGGACATATGTCTATTCTATATGTGGTAGTAACAGCTGTCAGTGTATGAACAATTTGTTAAATTTAAGATCGCAGCATATACTTCCTTTTATAACATATTCCTAACCTTATTATTTTCAGGTACAGCAATGACATGATTTAACCAGACTGTGGACATGGCGGATAAAGAAGGACCAGTCACCGTCAGTGATTTGCCGATTACGTTTCAGGTGAGATTTTGTAATCTGATGTTCTACAGCTGAGATGAAATTGAACTGAATTCAGAACTGGAAATGAAAATTACAAACGAATCAAATCTTATAAGAGTACATTTATTGAAATTATTTAGTGCCTTCATGTGCAATAACATGTAAAAAATAATAAAGTTTTCATACATTATCAATAACTGAAACACTTTTAACGGTTTGAAACGCGAAATATTAGTTACAGATCTACAGTTTATTTTAACCATTTAAAACGTTTAACAGTTTTTGTTTGAAAGTGTACTACTCGCGGAAACTACAGACAATGCTTAAATGAGCGATATAGGAATTGTGAATATCAATTAATACATTCTTTTGTCTATCTGTTTGTACAGAAACTTTTGGACGGCTGGTTTTATGATTTTTACAGTTTTTTTTACACAATATAAGTATGTTTGTATAAACCAATGAGATAACTAATTAAAAGAAAAATTTAGAAAAAAGTTACAATATTTTCAACAAAATATCTATGTCTATGTTAATCGTTTAAAAGTCAGACCTCGAAAAAATGGTTAATTACAGAGATAAAATCAAGAGTATTCTCGGTACGTAATGCGTATTTCGTGACTATCAAATACACGCATTGTTTTAGATGGAGCAATGTTGCAATATCCAGACCGGAACGGAATTGCGAATAAGTTGAACGCTGAACAATAGACCTAATACCTACTCCAACAGCCTCCAACAATGGTGAAACGTGTCACTGAGAGATATGGGGTTCAAATCTGGGGAAGACAATTAATCGTTTCGGCCATGAAGGCATCAACTACTTAATTGTAGATTATAAAACTAGCCTTAACTTAAGTAACACGATATACTTAATAATAAAAGTACTCGAAAATCAAGGTATCGAATTGAATAAAATTTGATAAATATCAGTCGTGCTAATGCAGAGAGAAAGAGTAACAAACATCCATACATCCATATATTTTCCGTTCCCCCGTCCGTTTATAATATAGTGTTAGTAACAATTATTCAAATTTTGGCAATACATCTTATTGCCACTATAACATTCGTCGTATTTACTTAAATAGCTATTAACATAAACTTATTTGTAACAAGTTAAATATTAAATTTAACAACGTACAAGAAGTATTGATGCGTCAGACACAAGAAGTCACGTGTCTATAAATTAATTGACCTCGGGTCAGTGAGACAAAATGGCGTTAATCGTATTAGGTTAAGCGAATTTAAGCTATTTCTTGTCTTATTATACCATAGACATCATTTCTGCGACATGCCTGTCTTTTGTATGCTTTTAAGGTAGTACACATTAAAATAAAACACTTTAAACGGTTTCAAACGCGAAATATATATTTTGAAATCCTAAACGTCGGACTGTAGTTAAATAAACTTAAAAGTGAATTAAATACTGTTTATAGTTTACGCGATTAGTAAACATTTTAATAAAACAAAAAGTGTTTTATTATTACTATTATTATTAAGTAATATTTTTCGTTTTTTAAACCGTTAATAGTGTTTTTGTGTACTACTCGCGTAAAATACACAATGACAGAGACTACGTTATCATGTAAATTTCACTTATTTAAATATCACTAAATAAAATATTGGACAATAAAAGACTATAATTCGTTCGAACATAGTGTCAGCTATCTCTGTAACGCTTTTGTGAATTAGTTTTTATCTTATCGACAATATTATCTTATTATTTCGTGATAAGCACTCTATTTGTTCGAGATAAATTCGGGAGCTCAGCCAGTTACAAGGAATACACGAGTTGCATGACGTTTAATCGATTTCTTAGATAATAGCATTTAAAAATTTGCTTTCCTTAATGGTAGAGGAGGACGGAGCGTGAGATAGTCTTCATAGAAGGTAAAACGAATGAATGAACGAATTGAATACAGACAATTAAAAATCGATTTTAGGCCGAAAGAATTTCATGACACGGGCAGGCCTCAAACCTTTGCTGTATACGTTCACCTACAAATGAAGGACGTTTTGAAAAACTATGCGCTTTTTTCATTTCATAATATTAACTATCACATAATATAATTAAATTAGCCCAAACTTTAATCAAATAAATTTCATAAGTTCAGATGACTTTAAATAAATTCGTTTATAACGCGAAATATATCAGTTAAATTTATATTTGGTTTATTTTTACTATGCCCCTACTAGTCTGATACCTTGCGGTCACGGGGGCGGACTTTGGTAAGTTTAACTAACGCATTTTGGGTTTAAACCGTACATAGCGTTTTTTTTTTATGTGTAGTACCTTCACATACTTCAGACTGTACATGGAGGGTTTCAATTCGATTCGGACATATTTTTGTTGTTGTAATAGAATAAACATACTGTCTATAGTTTACACGAGTAGTACACATTTAAATAAAACACGTTAACGGTTTAAAACGCTGCTACAAAGCATCCGAAACGTCGAAAAGTTAAAAATCATTTTAAAATAAGTTTAACTAATATATCGCGTTTTAAACCGTTAAAGTGTTTTATTTGAATAAACATTTTAATTTCAATTGTAGAGAGCACGGAGCAGCGAGTATGCACTAGGTTGTCAATAAAGCTATTTATAGTATAATGATTTGTACAATACGAATAATTGGAGCGAGTGAACCGTTACAAGGACTTGACGACAGACAAAGTCATAGAGGCTTACACTAATATGTTGTATATAATATAACGTATGTATGATTAAAAGTGAGAGTATTTTACGATATCGAAATAGTCGAAACTAAGTAAGTGAGTACGGTAAAGTCCCACTAAATACTGTCTGTAGTTTACGCGAGTTGTACGCATTTAAATAAACACACCTAACGGTTTAAAACGAGAAGTATTAACTGATATATTTCGCGTTTCTTATGAAGTGGTTTTATTTATTTTTTATTTAAATAAATTTTCTTTGCGTTTCTTAAAAGTTTGATTTTTCACCAATATGTATAATAGATATACAATTCCCGATCTCAGTGTCTACGTTACTTAATGTGCTATTAAAACTTATGATTGATTTGTCTTGTATTAAATTCCAGGTAAAATACTTAGGACAAAGTGACGCGAGAGGATTATGGGGAATCAAGCATACGAGGAAACCAGTCGATTTGATGGTATCGGCAGCTAAGGCGTTACCACCAGGTATGTGATACTGTTCTCGTTGATCTTTAATTAAGCATCAGAGGTCGCAGGTTCGAATCCGGGAGTAAGAGATAGTCGCCATTGAGCGTACTACAATTTATTTTAAATGGACAAAAAATATATTAGTAATTTAGTAGCCTGTTTGTTAACAACGGGAGCTAAAAGCGACGGGCTTTAATAAATTGTAAATAAGTTTACAGTTAGCTTGTATTCATTAGTATCTAGAAGTTAACTACTACAAAAACTGATACTATGACATTCTATTCCAGGTCAAATCCTACCAATAGTAAAGTTGACGATCACTGTGGACGGTGTTCATCTAGAAACCATCAATGTTGGCACAAGACGGGACGAATTTGAACACATGGCTGTAAGTTCTCCTTTTCAAAATGGCTGATACAAAATTCATTAAAAAAATTAAATCTAATAATAATTATAACTGGTTTTAGCCAAGAAGCATTTTTGTTATGTAATTATACTAATAAAAACGTCCATACAATTGTGCATGTATTTAATTAATATGATACTTAATGACAATTTCAATCAATAGAAATTCATAAGAAAAATTCATTTTTATAAAATTATTTACCTTTTTTTGGAATACTAGAGAATTTAACGGTTTTTTTTGGTCCAATTGTAACTAATAACTTACAGGCGATTGGTTCAGTTCCCACCTTGTTTAAGATATTTCTAAAATCAATACTTTATTTTACTGTAACAAGAATACTCGGAAAATCTGGGTGGTATAGATTTTGTATTCGAATTTCGAATTGAATTAACTTTATATACTTAACTTCTTTATAATCTTAGACGGTAAATAGCTAGGCTATTTATCCTTGCCCCCTGTGCCCTCGTGTTTGTATAAAGGAATACCAAATCACACAAATTCGACCTCTATTTCAGGTTTTCTTCAACATCGAGTCAATATCATACGGAGTCCAGGACCTGGTCTACACGCGGGTCTTCTCCATGATAATAGTCAAGGACAACGCTGATGTTAAAGGCTTGAACCCGTTTGAATGCCACGCGTTTGTTTGTGAGTCGAGGTGAGTTACCCAAGAGAGTAAGGATTGTGGTAGACTACATAATTCATATGAGTTGTCACAGGTTTGAATCCTGTTTAAGACATAAAATTCTTACAAATTAAATACGTAATACACACATGTGCACACTTATTGTTTTGAATTTATTTTTATTCGAATTTTTATTTTATATAACTATAATTTCGACGGGGCATGTATTCGATTCCTACCGGGTCATTTATAATAAATTTATAATTGAATTGAAACCTTGATATGGGGTAGCAGGAATATCGTTAATTCCGACCGGGTCACGTACGACCGTCCATAGATAGCCTCACTATCATTTCATATTTCAGTCTATGTATTTCCGAATATCCGAATTCGAAAGCCAAAGTAGGTCGACATTGCAATTCGGTAAGATGTTCTAAGACTGTGGTATTTTACTCTTCATCGAGTGAACCCCGTGATTGTGTATATATATCTATCTCTATAATAAAAGAAAAGTAAATTTAAGTTGTAAAAAATTGTTGTTGATCAACAAAACACGAGACATTTTAAAGGTACTTATAATGAGAAATCCCGCTGAACGATGAACACAAATCTAATATGAAAGGTTGTATTTAAAAGCAAGTAGTTGTGCAAACTTCTCTACCTAGCCGAACATACATACTTTATTTAATCTTTAAACCTATTTAGCCATGAATAGTTCTAAAGTATATTATTTTTCTGTGTATTGTAATAATATGTAGATTTGTTGAATTTGTGTATATAAAAATATACCTAAGGGAAAAATATTTTCGACACACTCGTCTTGAGAATTTGGCTTTTGATAGACGCTTCATATCATCTGATAGATTAGACATAAACCACTAACACCGTTCTCACGCTGTTATCTTGGAAATGGAAATCTAGGACGACTCGGGCTGGTCACTATCTTTATTACAACATAAAGGATGCTCTATCGAGAAGGATAAACAATTGTACCCCATCACCTGATGGATGGTGAAATATTAGCTGTCGAGCTATTTTGGTTTCGGAGATTCGGAAATCCAAAGACTGAACCGAAATCGCGAATAAACATATTGTGTCTGCATATTTACAAGCTTTTCTAAAGATTTCCTTTGTATTCTATTTAAGCCATGCCTGTAATAATTAATGCTTCGTTCTGTAGACCCTCTAAATAAAAATTCATAAAAAACTGCATGGTTTTATCACCTGTAGACCATGGTTCTTGATTCATTCCATAACTAGTTTTCTAAGTCCAACTCGAGTCAGAAAAATTTATTGATTCGAAACATGATGGACGCGGTGGGGATCGAGACCAGGGCTCGTTGATTATTAGCCATACATCGATGACACGTACATGATTTTTTTCCAGGAATGCCGCGCGACGTCTCACATATTCCTTGGCAGCTGCGTTTCAGGATTACTCCCGGCGAGTGAAAGAGATGCAAACTAATCCAGGTAATTTTATCAAATGGAGGTCACGCTTCCCTTGGGAAACCACTCTTCACCATCTGAAAAGATCAGCTGGTATAGAATAGTGCTGCACTGCAGGAGATTGACAAAATTGGGCATCTTTGGAAAAGGCGTATCACTATATTTTCATTTCAATTTATAATCGATTCCTTTAACTTTTTTTCCAGAGTTAGACGAGAGGCCGCCAAGTCAGAAACCACAGAAGCGTTTCGCCATCGACCTCAGAACACCTGAAGAGATCGAGGCGGATCTGGAAACGGAGGCGTAAGCTGTAAAGAAAAACGTACACCTGCTGGTATGGATGCGATAGTTACAGAAGAAGAAGAAGATATGCTTTACAGAAGTATTAGATATTACTATTATATTTTCTCCTTTATTTTTGCGTTTTGAACCGTTAAAGTATTTTTTTAAGAAACAAAAGATGTTCTACAAGTTCTATATGGGTTACATGTGTTACTTCTGTATGTTCCAACTCGTATATTCATACCAGAAAATTTTTGGTTTTATAGTGGCATTTGTAAGTATTATTTATTGTTCTATTTAATTTATCTTGTAATGTTTAGGTATTTTAACCTAGATTGGGTAAAAAAAAGGTTACAATAAAGTACATTAGCGCAGTATTACTATAAAACACATGTCATTTTAATATATTAATGTACTTTAGAACAGCTCTTAAAATTAAAAATTATCGTGAAATAATAGTTTCTGCCACAGGCGTAACTCGAACCCACGACCCACAAGATACCTCTATAAATAAAGCTACTGCGTCCTTTGAATATTCACTTCATTAAATCTATTATCAAAATAGGTACAGCCGTTTTAAACTTATAGAATTACAATAGATCAATACTTTTAAATTTTCTTGTAAATTTTTGGTTCTTTTTGCGAAGCTATTAAAATAGGTTCTAAAAGATAAGTGTGTACTATAAAATCTAAGTAATTAAAGATAAGAAACCGCGGGGGTCCAAAGCATAATATATTTTGTACAATTCTTAATGTTGTATTATTATTTATTTGTTAAGTTAGTGTACATAAGACAAAGAGTGTTGTAAAATAAAATATTGTGTTTATTTGAAGTTTCATTACGAAGGGGGAGAAACAAAAATGTCTTAACAGCAGACATATTTTTGAGTCCACATTTGCGAGTTTCATTTTCTTGAGCAAAACATTACGAACAAGAAATAAAATTATTATTAATATTTTTATTAGGTCAAAAGTGACATCAATACAAAAAGCTAATTTATTTTCTTCAACTCTTGTAACAATCTCAGCACGAACCTAAACTCTGTTTTAGCCTTCTGTACCTCTCTTCTGTTCTTGCGCAGGTAATTTGAGAAGTTATCTTCTAATCCGTTTTTGGAGCTGTCTTCTATAAGACCTAAAAGTCTTGAAAGACTCAAATGTAGAAGAACTTGGAGTAGCTTCCGTCTATCTGCCTTCTTTAAGTATACATCTTTGAAGTCCGTGTGCGATTGAGAATTGTAGGTCGTTGTCATGGCAATGTGCTTAATTGCTTCGTGAAGCTGAAAATACGAGTGATTAGGATATTTTCATTTTAGTATTGTCTGTGATTTGTATACAGCTAAAAAAAGCCTATCGAAGATTTAAAACGCGTAATATTTTAGTTAAAATGAATTATTATGTATTTTAACTACAACCCAAGGTAAAAGTAAAGTTAGCCTAGGTAAAAGTGTTTTACTTTAAATTATTTTTTTCTATAAAAATGTCTTACATCGTTCAACTGGTAATCCACTTCAGCCAAAAAACTCTTGAATTGTTCCAACGTTTCCCTTTTGTTGTTCACCAGACTCCTCAAGTACGTCGCAAAATCCTTCCACATTTTTATAGCAGATCTAAAACCTTTCTGCTTCTTTATAATTTTGGGTACCATACTCTTCTTTCTATTCTTCCTTAACTCACTTAAAGTACTTTGTAGCAATTCAATATTTAAGGTAGAGTTTAAATTGAATTGTGAGGATTTATACAAATACACGATATATTTTAGAAGTTCGAAGTCTGAAGGATGTACGTGTTCACCTATTTTCAACTGTAAACTGAAAAAATAAATTAAATAACTTTCATTTGGATTTATTGATTTGTTTCAATACTTACGTTAAGTCATTTAATTTTTCTATAGCCGATCGTATATCGACGGCCGTTGCCAGCCAATCGTAATTAACTAACGCTTCATTATCCATTCTTATAAAGTCTCTTAAAACGGTTATTGTGACTTCTAATCCATTAACCACTTCTTTCTTCTCCTCTTTATGATTCTCAAAATCTTTCCCATCCTTGAATTCACTCTTGTCTTTATGACCTCTTTCAATAGGAATAGGTGTTATTGAACCCAAGTATTGAAAATTGTTAAAATACTTGATGTTTTTTCCTAAATCCACTTCCTGCGAATTTTGTCTTCCAAAATAATAATCAATAGCTATATCATCTTTGTCTTTGTTGCCGTCGACAACTTCATCTAACTCATAAACCCTGTGTCTTAGTTTATCTTTATTTCTACGTTTCTCGTCTATTGACGGTATGTAACCAAACCTCTGTTTGGAGAAGAGTAGTTTCCTTACTGCTCTGAGATGATCTTTTACTCTGCCCTTGGAATATTTAACATAGGGATGATCATTTTCGTGTGTATCAGGGAATATTTTATTTCTATGCTTGTTGTGCCTTTGTCCCTTTCTCATAATTTGATCGTCCTTTCTTCCGAAGAAATAATCCATGTCTATGTAATCGTTGGGATTGTAATTCTCGTTGTTTGGCACAACTGGTTCTGGATCAAATATGTTATATTGATTTTTATGTTTCAACACGTTGTAAAGTTGTAATTTGTATGGATTAATTAATAAAGTATTTGGGGTTTTAAATCTAGCTCTCCTTTGAATATTTTTAATGAATTTCTTTAAATCATTTAACGTGATTTCATCTTCTTTGCTTTTGGCAGCACCGTCGTGTCCAAAACGGTTATGTGGATTATAATTAGCAAACTCAGGAGAGTAATTATATACAGGAGCATAATGCGGTTGTTCCTGAACGTTTTTTGGTATAAATGGCGGACGTTCCGCTGCTGGAAAATAAAAAACTATTCGTAAATATATTTTTTTTCTCATTAAAATCACTTTATTTCAAGAGCTATACTCACAAACTTCATATATGTAATAAATGGACTTATTTTCTTTAGATGCAGTTTCTAAACTTTCTATAGTTTGAAAGTCCTTCAAAATAGTTTTTTCAGATATAACCAACTGTTGAAGGTTTTTCTTTCTAGCGCCTTGTATATCGTTATGCTTTTTTATTTCACTCTTTATTATGTTTTTATGGTCAGTAGAAATATGTACGGAGACTATCTCTGTAGTAGTAGTAGTATTTTGTTGATCAGAGCTTTTTGTATTCAATGAAGTTAAAGATTTTGTTAATATTTGATTATCTTGTGTGGTATTTGTTGCCATTAAAGAGGGTACGCTTGTTTTATTAGAAGCTTTTAATACCATGGATGCGTGGTTATCTAAAACATTTTTGCTTCTAACAAGTTCTGGGTTATTTTTTATTACTTGTAAAACACCGTTTTCTTTCAAAGTTGCAAAAGCCTCTGTTGAGATATCAAAATCACTGGTAGTTTTAACAGTACTAAACACAGTTGCCGCTTCCGTTTTTGGATAGTCGATAATCGTTGATGTACTTCCTGCAGAAGTTAGTTCTACGATTTCCGTGGTATTAATTTTTTGAAAGGCAGCATCACTTTCATTACTTTCTTTACGAAAATGTAATTTATTATCATTAAAAGTAATTTTTTTAGAGGGCGTAGTTGTCTTTACGACTACATGTTTTCTTTCGTAATTTGAAACTTCTCGCACGGATTCTTCGTTTTTATTTGAAGTTGTATCAAAATTAATAACCGTTGACTTTATACCCTTATTTTCGCTACTATCATCATAAACAAAAAAGTTCTGTAAGTTTTGAGACGAACCTAGATTGTTATTAACCTCTGTTACATGTTTTATTTTTTTACTTTTGTTGGCATTATTCCTGAATAGACCATCTCCCTCAATCGATTTGTTTACTTGAGTCTTTGAAATTGTATCATACATGCCATCATATACAGGATCAACTGGTATAATACTAACGTTATGGATCTTACTGTCATGTTGAACATTCCTTCTTTTATCACGTTTCTGCGTTCTCATAGTGAGATCAATAAATTTATCGTTCTCATTACTTTCTCGATTGTTGGCTTGATTTTTTTTGGTTTCATCTTGATTGTCTCTTCTTTCAATCTGTTTATTCCTTTCCTCTTTTAATATCCCTTGAACATAAGAAGTATGTGCATTCAAATCGTCGTCTGAAATATTAACATGAGATTCACGAATTGGAATATTGTGGTCTTGGTAATCCTCGAGAATTCGCCTTGCTATTTTCTCCAAAAATTCTCTTTTCTCATCGTCATTTAATGAATCAATATATCTTTCGTCACTATTGTCAGAAGAGATAACACTTTTAAATAAAAACAATATTAAAAGTGTATGAAACATTTTCACTAAACATCAAGTCATTTTTATTTCACGACGGCAAAAGGAACAAATTCGTTACACGATCTTTTTGATTGAAAATCATTTTCCACTTTAAATCAGGCGTAAGGAAAATTAATTACCTTAATGCAAAGAAAGATAAGGTATTGGTTTAGAAAACAACAACAGTCTAGTAACCGAATGAATCACATTTTACGTTAGTGTTTTCTTCTTTCCAATATTTATTAAATATGTGTAACTATTGGTTTATATATATATAGACGAAATAAAATAATGTGATAATAATGGTATTATTGAAAACAATGTGAAATAAAAACAACTTTGCGCAAGATTAAATTTATTATTACTAATTATTAACTATTTACAATTTTCAGCATTAATTACATCTAATAATTATTGTTTTTGTACCTAAAGGAACCTCTCCAACCATGTCTTCCCGTTCTTAATCTCCTCTCTGAACCCAGTCTAGAATCTTCTATATTTTCTACTGTCTCTGGAATGGTAGTTTCTAGTACTTCTGGTTGGGGATCCACGTTGATAGTTCCATCAGTCATATTCTCTTCATAGATTCCATCTATATCACTAACTAAATCCTCCTTTTGATTCATTTCTTCCACTGCCTCTTCTACCAGCTTTTCAACCATGTTCTGTTTCTTTCGGCTGGGAAAGCGTTTTTGGTTTTGAACTGGCACATTTTCAGTTTCTTTTTGCTCGTTTTTGTTTTGACTTGTCTGTACTTGATTGTTGGATTCCATTTGATTGGTGGTTTCAACCTGTTCCTTGTTATCAGCTATCTTGCCTATTTCCATGTTGAGGTCGTAATAAGCTGGAGAATCTTCACATGGGATAGAATCTCTGTCTCTGGTACAGACTAGAACTTCCTGCAATATCGTAACAAAAATAAATAAAACATACTAGATGCGATCGAAATTATTCCAAAATATTTTTTATTCTATACTAAATGACGAATAAATAAGAGAAATTGACCTGGTTAAAGACTGTTTCGGCTGGACAAATGAAACTCCAGCGGTAAGTGACGTTTCTACCAGATGGAGTCTGCGAAGGAAGACACACGTGGAAGATCTGACAGTCATTGTCTACGTCAGCATAATAGCCGTAGACACGGTTCTCACAACTGAAAATCAAAATAAACTTAGGTCAGTTAATTAAATAATAAATCATTTAATACCGAATCATAGCAAGGGCGTACTCACGGACGTCTCGTTTACACGTACAAACATACGCACAAACCTATTTTGACAGTTCTACTAAGTATAATGATTATCACTCTGATTATTTATTACTTTTTATGATAGGGTACAATAGACAAGCGTGGGTTTCACTCGATGGCAGGTGAAAACACCCAGTCATATAACACACTATGCATCTACACAAGATGCACTGTAGACCTGTTATGGTGTTGGATATTCAGAAACGTACAGACTGAAACCGTGATACGATTAGGCTTAACTGTTAAATTAAAAATTTTATGGAAAAATGTTGAATCCGGTGGGGATCAAATCCACAACCCGTTGATGTTTATTCATAGATTGCTCTCATTACAACAACGTGTTCGTTCAAAATTAACTTACACTTTAAATTTATCTACGGGCCGATGTTGACGGATGCTTTTCATCAGCTTAACTTATATATTTCCTGTATTAAACTGGTAAAAGTCTAATTAAGTTCAATCTAAGGATATTTGAAATCAGAACGAATAAGTTTAAACTTCTAAATTAATATAGCTATCCAAAAATTAAAAAGTCACACGGAAGTCACATGCGAGAGCTAATGGATATAGAACCGAAGACGCATAGTAAAGTCTAAGATATAGATTTAAATTAGCTCACCTGAATGTGTCCGTAATATTCTCCCTAATAGATGTCGCGTTAGCTGGTAGGTTCATCGTGTCTGCACTTGTTTGGTTCGCCATTTCCTGTAACCGATAATCAAAACGTTTAAGTAGATTTTGTAGGGCGACTAGAACTTAATTATAGCAAGTAGAAAAAAAAATGTTGAATAAGTAAAATATAACATAAATGACAACCAAAAGTCTCAGTAATGATGAAAGAATACGCAATATAGAGTAGAGATGGTGCTGAAGTTACGAACGTTTTGTTCATCAATGCATTATGCATAGCTTCGGAAAATTTAAAGGTATGTGTTTAATAAGTGTGCTAAAAATGGTTTATTCCAAAGATCATTTTTAAAAAATGTTTAATTAAACAAAGTGCGAAATCTCGGGACTTTTATAACCGTCGCATGTAGTTGGATAGATCGAAATCTTTCCAACCCGTCGAAGGTCAGGTTAGCGGAGATTTGAAACCAGAACCCCTCACAACTTAACGATTAAATGTAATCAATACAATTCATGCAACAGGACAAATCATATTTCTTTATCCTTCTGTTCAAACAGCCATTACCCTAAGCATCTTCAAGACAATACCGCTGGTCGCCTCCAATTCAATTTCATCAGCTCTCGTGGAAATCACCAAAAGAAATGCCAGTATACACCTCAACAGAGCCGTCGCCATTGTTTTATGACTAAGAAGTTTTTCAAGTAGGTTTTAAACCCTGGAAAAAAAATGAAAAATCTTTAAACAAAAATTCATCAACAAGTTAAAAATAATCGAAATGAATGAATACAAACCAAGCTATAAATACACAATAAATAGCTACATTATTATTTATCAGTTTAAATTAATTACTAACATTAATCTATTAATATTTTTTAATTAAAAATAAATTTACAATTTACATATACACACTTATAAAAATAATTAAAAATCCCTTCGCAAAAACTGAAGGTTTTAATATAAAATCATCGTTTACATGTTACCGTTATTATTTGTAGTTTATACAATAAATATACTTACGTATGATCCTAGTGCAACAATATAATATTTCACTTCACTCCACACTACACGGGCAAGACGAAATGTACTAGAATGCAAAAATTTTTATTCATATACGGTCTTTTATAAACCTGCGCGGGAGATTCACGGAATCCGCAATAAGGATTAACGAGATACCGTCAGCAGCGGCGTGGGCGGGGATTTATTATCTTTATTAATTTTTAATTCAAATTCAAATTCGTATATTAAGCATAATGTTTAATTAATCGATTATTTTTTTTTATTTACAAAAAACCTACATGATTGTCACTTTCTAGGTCAAATGTAAATATACAACGCCTAAGATAAACAGTCACAGCCAACTGAACTAATGTCAAATTACTATTTAATTCAAAACAATCCATAGACACATCTACATCTACTGTAAACACACTTTAAAATTGTTTTTCTTTGCTGACGCTACTTAACACTCCGTTATATGTGACATGAAATTTAATATGTCCAAATTGTACGAAAACAACCTTGACTTTGCATGTCTATCTAACGATGCCATCAATTGCCATCAATGAGTCAAAACGAGACAACGGAGATTCACCCATCCAAAGCGTGGTTGTACGAACCCGCGCTTTACCCAAGTAATTGATAATTCTATAGGGCAAAAGATTTTACATATTTAAATAAACAACTGTTAACGGTAGGTAAAATATATTAGTTAATTTACCTTAACTACGACCCGACGTTTTGGACGCTTTGCGACAGCGACCCCTCGTGACCACGGCTAATTTTATTGAAAAAAGATTTGTATGTTGTGTGTGTAGCTTAGTAATGGATAACTCACAAAATACTGAGTCGATTTCTATAAAACAATAAATTGCTTAAAATGAATAAAACTGAAACGGGCATAATAACTTCTTAATTCCGTTCCTTTGTAGGAATTTAGTAGTATTTTATCGTCTTGTCTTGCATTACCTTTATCCCAGTATTAGAACCTGCAACCTCTTGCACAAGCAAGTAAGACAAGATTATCAACACAGCCCTACGACTTTACACAAATATTAAAACATTTGAGTAGAATTTTCTCGAAATTCCGACCTGTGTTGTTTTTCTCTGCATTTTACGTTTTTACTGCAACTTAACTACGATACTTCATTTCAAGTTCACGATATTGATTACGTGACCTTTACAATACTTTGACCTTTGCTACTGTATTTTCTTACATTACCTATATTCCGGCGAATTTACTACTTTTGAGTAATATTAAATCCAACTTATATTTCTTTCATTTGAAGAGCCAAATTGTGGGTATACAACAAACGAAATGATCCTACGTTATTAGGCCAATTTTTGTACTAAAAACTATACTCCGTTTAGTTTACTACAAAAAACTCACTTTTATCACCCTATTTTACATTATTAAATCGCTGTCACGATTCAACTACACATTTCTTAAAAAAAAATCACAATTTCTCAGTAATTTTACAGTTACAAAGACTTTAAAGTGTTAAAAAGAAGTGATGTCTCAAAAAGAACTGTCATTGTCATACTTCCATCAAAAATATCTGTGGAAATACAGTGTTGTAGTACATAATCGAATTTTATCAATTCAAAAACAACAATCAGTAGACGCCACAGATAACACACGGATGTTTTTTTTGTTTACTGTGGGTTTTACAATACATTAAAAAACAGAGTCTCTGTTTCAGGTAATTAATTTTGGTCTAAAATTATTTCCATAGCGAATATATGTATAAGGGTAAATAGGTTTTTACTTTTTTCTGTATAATTATTGTTTTTAATTGAAAACTAGACAAAGCGACAAAGACAAAAATTAAAACTCTATCTTTTTTTCCTCAAATAGAAATTATATTTTTTTCTGTCGCGTCCTAAAATTTTGCGTTACATCTGTAGGTACCAGAGACGTTATCCAATTATAATTGTGACCATATCGCAAAAAATACAAGAGTTTTTAGTTAATTTAAATAACCTGGAAAAATTAAAACAACGTCGGTACGTTTGGGAAAACCCCCCCCCCCCCCCCCTTCCCCCAATAAAAAAACCCCCAAAAAACCCAAAAAAAAAAAAAAAAAAAAAAAAAAAAAAAAAAAAAAAAAAAACAAAAAAAAAAAAAAAAAAAAAAAAAAAAAAAAAAAAAAAAAAAAAAAAAAAAAAAAAAAAATATTATTTTTTTTTATACCATCGCCATTAAAATTCACTATACCAAAAAGATGGAGCTAGGTATATAAAATTTGTTTCTTTTCTACACATTCATTTAGAGCAGAGTAAGTTATATCTTTTGATTATTTAATAACACGTTTCATGTCAAAACTATTCTGTTCAAAAATTATTACAATTACATTATGCAGATGACGACTACAAAAGTGTAAAATTACAGCGGTCACAGAAGAGGAAAACAGGCTCTATTAGTAACGCAAGAGTCTCAGGTACTAATCTCGTCTGTGTCATAGAATTTTAAACCGTTCTGCAACTATTTTATTTTTCATATGAAACGTATTGTAATGTAACAAACAATCGAGTTATTATTAAACAATATATATACTCTATATTCAAAAGTACGAAATAACTTCAATAGCGAATCTTTTATTATACACACACTTATATCTTTACTAATATTATAAAGGTGAAGAGCTTATCTGTTTGTCTCTTTCTTTGAACGCGCTAATCCCAGGAACTCTTACTATTACTACTACTATTGAAAGATTATTTTTGTGGTGGTTGCTTCATTTATCGATTTAGTCTATAAATAAGTGGAGAAAACGGGGAAAGTTTTCATCTTTGAGTTTAAGAAACCAAAAAAATAGATGTGAAAGAATTATTCTTGTTTAAATGATTTATATAATGTGCGCAACATTATATTATGTCTATCTTTAAGATTCACACGCAAAAGCGATGGGAATAGGACGACTATTTCTAAAGCTGAGGAGATTTTTTTACAAAAACTAATAGCATGGTGCCCAGAATAAGTATTTCACGCGGATGAAATCGCAGGTACAGCTAGTATAAAATAAAATTTAGGAATACAAGGAACAGTTTAAATAAGACTCCATTGATAGAGTATTGAACTGTATTACGTTTTGGCGTGCGCGTGCGCTGAATACGAATCGTCACGAATTATATCCTAACTTCGATGTTAGACATTCCTAAGCGCTTATCCTCAATTTTATAAATTAAAAAAAATCATATTTTTTTTAAAGTCCTGTTCAAGATAGAAGAAGACAGACAAGCACGTGCTTCAGATGATTGAAGGTGAAATATCTCAGCCATGTAACATCTAACCGCTCTATTGGCTCTGAAACCCACCGACTGAAACCGAAACGTGATTAAAATTCACGGCTTTTTTATCTATGGACGGTGGTTCGTGGCTCGGACTGAATTTCAGTATTCCTGCCATCCATTTAATATCCAGATTTCCAGACGAGGGCCACCATGAATTAGAAACATCATGAATTTGACACATGTTGAACCAGTCAGGGGCCGAACCCGCGGCCCGTTGATTGTTCATCTTGTTTAGTTGATACTGCTGTCATATTTTATATTCCATCAAGTAAACATCATGCCTGTCTGTCCTTCTCTGTTTCTAAAACGTTAAACGGCCTTATTTTTATTTTATTATTATTTCGAAACTCATAGTAATTCTCAAGTTATCTTACAGAATACAATATTTCCAGATGTACAGGTCATTGTCCCTTGTTACTTTGTATTCCAGATTGGTAAAGATAGGCATGCCTTAGACATCTGAATTCTTATCATAGAACTTGATTCTAAGATGTTTCGTCTGAGTTCTTGCCAAGATTGTGCATCATAAGTGTTCTACGCCCAGGCTATAGGTATATGTAAGCCCTATTCGATATCTATCTATACTAATATATACAGCTGAAGAGTTTCTTTGTTTAAACGTGCTAATCTCAGGAACTACTGGTTAGAATTGAAAATTTATGTTAGAGCCTTTATCGAGGAAGGCTTTAGGCTATAAAATATCAGGCTGCGACGCCTAGGAGCGAAAAAATAGAGGGAAAGTGGAAAAACGGGGAAAATCTTTTATCTTTGAGTTTATTAAACTATTAAATATGATATGATTAATAAAGATGTATGCCACGTGCATAATATTTAGGTCAATGTACGGTAGTGACTAATTTCTGAAGCAATGTAAGCAATTTTTACTCTATCAGTCTAATGTGAGAAATATTAATCGTCGACGTCGTTCATCAAATTGCTTTCCTTAATCCTGTACCGATAAGAGTTAGGGCCACAACATAATTGGTGACCCCCACGTGATGAGGAGGAAGATTGCGTATTAATTTTAATTTCCAAAATAACTATTCTTCGCAGATGAAGTATCACAGACAGTATACAAATGTGTACACACTGAAAACTGCTATGCCGATGTAGGTAAAGTTAGTAGTAGTAGAAAAAAACATTGAACAAAATAACACTAATAGCCAAACCAAAGCTTTATATGAGTTAATATTTTTTAGTACCTTTGCAAAAGGAAAAGGTTACAGCGCCTCTAGCGCCAGCCTACAAGAACTAAGGATAAATATATGTAGTACCGTGCGAAAAAACTAAAACGTCCAGTTAACTAATTCACTTTTAACTGTAATAACACTGTTCATATTCTGATCACATACATAAATAGATTTGTAACCTAGCTATTATATTGT